TGGATTTTGATTGCATGACATCAGTGGAATGCTTCAAATCAGGGTCGGGTTTTCAGGGTTCTGTCTCCTTTCCATTGCTATACTTCTCCTTTGCCCTTTGTGGCATAGGTGGTGTTGGTGGGGAGTGTTGTGTCTTTAAAATAACCTACAATATAGCTTGAAATACAACCCATTTTTGGAGAGAGAATTTACTTAAGTTTTTCATTTTAGTTGATAATTAATAATACATAGTGACATTACCACAGTTTATCTAGATGCGACTGGATTAGTATTAGTCAATTTTTATCTTTAGCCTTCATTTCAAGTACTAAAAATTACTCTTTTCTAATTTTAAGTCAAAGCTTGTCTGTGTAATAGAGAACTTTTAGCCATTTTCAGTCGTTAGTGTCAACCATCCCATTGGTTGTTGTGGTCTTGTGTTTCTTTTGGATTGGTGGATCCTCCAACCAATTCTAATAGAACATTCGGGAAAGTCGACTTCTTATTGGCCATTGCGCACCTGCTGCCTTCGTTAAAAATGTTTCTTTCGAATTCATGGATTAATAAGAAAGTGACCAGTAATTGTGTTTTATGCTAACTGATGCAGCCACCCTGTTGTCAATTCTATATAGATTAGCAATTTTCCGGCATTCTAAATCACATGTTTAACAATGCATGTATGAATGGAGAGCAACATGAATTCGATGGTATAGATTTGTTGCCACCCAAAAAGAAGGTTGTTTTTCCTTATATCTAACTTTGCATAGCCTACACCCGCTTATTTATTCTTTATCCTTAATCACTCAATTCATTAACCTGACCTATGTAATCGTAATCTGCCTCCCCGCCATGGACCCATGTACTGGCCTGCCTTCCTCTCTCGACTAATCCATACACTTCTGAATCATTCATTCAGTCTTGATCCCCTTCAACTGATCCACTTAGTGATCTAGGATACACCCACCTCGGAATCCTCTATGCCATTTAAGTCTGTTCATCATGGTTTTAACCATCCACTCCTTGTTCATTTTAAACCTATTTATCCTAGACACATCTGGCCCTCTTGTACACATTAAGCATCCATCAATGGTCCATCTGCTCCTAATCTGTTCATCATCTACCCCGGATCCTCTCGTCTACTCCATTTGTCCTTATTTACTGTTCGTTTAGAGTGCCATGGCTCAGTAGTATCATAAATATTAATGTGTTTTGCATAGGCATTTTTCTGTTATAAAAATACTTGAGGGTTGAAAGCCTAGAACGCCAGACCAATCAGAATCTTGTCATCCACACAATTAATATGACCATAACAATGCATTTAACTAACATTCAAAGCAACCATCAAGAAAGTGCTATTTTAACTTCTTGTACAAACTCTAGTGACAGTGAAAAATTCCGCAGAACATTCACCCTTAACACCTATCGGAGATGATCGCGAGTGTTGTAGTGTTTTAACTACTAATGACAATTTAAGTAGCATGTAAGCATTGCTAACTAGAAAAGGGTCAAGATGGAATTGAGTGAAATCTTCTTAGTTCCGCTTAAAATGGATAAATAAGTACTATTTGAGGAGCTCTGAAACTGAAGTTTGTATGTTCGATTAATTGGTGAAATTTAGGCAGGTGGAAAAAAGTCTGAGTTGTGGAATTCCGGAGAAACGAATCCTTCAAAGCAGTGAATAGCCAAGGTGTTTTTTATTTTCACAGAAAGTTGAATCAGATTCTCTGTCGTCTATCGGTTAGCCTACCTCTTATCAGGGTAACTTGGAGCCTCCTCAGTAGGATGAAAAGTGATGATGCATTATCTTCGCTCGGGCTTTGAAACACTCGAGTGTTGCAGAAATATGTAGCAACAGCGGAGAACATCGAGAACTATGCTTGAATCATCATGAGAGCCAGGTAGAAGGTTGTGAATGTTAAACAACCTCAACATAAGCTAAATACATGACGAAAGATTGAACAGGCTTGCAGTCTTCAATGCAAACACAATCATCCTCGAATCAGCTAGGAACACTTCCTGCGGTGTTGGAGTTGGTGGTGGTGTTCCCACGGTTGAATCGAAACTCGGTGGTACTGCTCTGACTTCTGACGATGTGATAGCAGGATCGGCTGGAGATAGGGTGGTTGGATCAACTGGTTTCGCATTCCTCGTTGAAGCTACACTGGATTGGTAAGCACCGAGGTGTTCAGCACCTACAGTTAAGGTTGTCCCAAATTTGACGAACTCGGAGGAATGAGCAATAAACTGACGCTGTAGAAACCAGCACTGAAATGAGTACTTGGATTAGCTGTCGAATTGCTACTCTCCCTTCCAGTTCTAAGTGCAAACGGAGACCGTTCGTGTTTGCGGCACGGAATGGTTGACTTGTGACCGACTAACTGATCACTGTCTGACAATATGACAGCATTCAACCACCATTCCCCCAGTCCGCTTACATATTGTTAATACAATCTTCCACGATTCGACTTCAACATCAGTGGCAAGTAGCTCCGCTACTAGTCTTCAAGTTCTTTGGTACAGGCACAATAAAGTATTTTCATGACTCGGACACTTCGTAATGTCGTCAGATGCAGCGCGGACGCTCGATTGGTAGCATGGCAGTGGTAGAAAGTATGAATGTGGTGGAAACAGCTCTGTGACGCAGGAAAGAAGGCAATAGACAAGCCATTTCTGAATTAGGCATGGAGTAGCTGCATCAAGTACTACTCATGTCAATAATAAGTAGCTCACCGGATATCGGTTGACTGTCATTTCTAGGCGCCACTTGCACACAATCTCTAGGCATATTCGCCCTACTTTCATGCATTATTGCCAGAAAATTCGCACAACCACATGCCCATTCCTGCATCTCACCCGCCTTCAATGGCTTCGCCAATGCCTCCACACACTTCTCCATCACCTCTCGAATTGCCACCAACCTCTCCGTGGTAATCAGTCCACTGACACGGCTAAAACGCCTTTCTGGTACAAGGTCATATTGAAAGTAGATAGGTGCGTACAGCCACGTCTGCTTGAACAGATGCTGCGCCCATGATTGCATCATCCTTGTATTAGCTTTCCGTGTCCCTCCCACCTCATACAGCCAGTGCAAGTTATTCCGCATGATCCTATCGTAGTCTTGGGCGCCATAGACGCCATGCAGAGCTTGGATGGCGCGTTGACAACGGCGAGACGCACCTTAGTACTTGCCTGTTTTGATGAAACAGATGCCCCCACGTTGGCTCTAAGCTTTTACCGCGAATGTGATGAATATTACACGGAATGCGTGTACTGGATAGCTGTGCTGATGGTTTAAGTGGTGCAAAGCGCTGCCTAGGTTGATTTTTCAGACGATCAACAAGGGAATGGGGGGACGGATTCGATGCCAATATCCAGGGTAATGGACTGAGCCAGGATGGACGGAGACATGCCATCTTCGTGAGGATTGCTATTCTTCTGCTACTCTCGGTCCCAGTAATCACTTATACGTCGTCATACTTTCATCAAGAGGACCTTTTATTCCCTTCAGTTCTTTCTCAACTCGCATCTGTGGAAATGCAATTCGTCACAAGATTTTTAGCTGCTTTTGGTCAGGACATGCAGTAGACATGTTGAGAAATTACGATAAAAAACGGAATAATTCTAGTTCCGGAATGAATCGACACGCAAAGTGGTTAGCTGGCTGATACCTGCACAGCACAAGCAGTGCATAACAATACAGAGAGTTTCAGAAAAGTTTTGCCCTGGTGAACGACCTTAATCCAAACCTGCTCACATAAAAGGGCTAGTCGGCAAAACGCTACGTGGCATACGGGGTCACGTGAGGTAAGAACCCGAGGTGGTGACTAATGCGAATGGGGGGGCACTACGACGTGGAATTGGGCAAGCAGCAAAAGACACCACAAGCTAACCCGAAGAGCGACCATGCCTAAGCACTATGCTCAGCGCCTAGAGAGGCGAACCCAAGCTGAATGAACTAACTAATCAAAGTAGCCGCACCCACAAACGTGCTTCACCGACTGCGATCAGAACGAGGCAGTCCAAATCAACCCTGATTGCTATTAAGTTTAAGCCGTCCAACTAAGGAGCTACCCCAAAGTTTCTGTGAGAATCCTACTTGAGTCAAAAAGGCGACCTCAAAAAGTCAAACCAGCCAAAGAACGGCCAGCCGTTCGAGGCACCAGCCACAAGACATCGCGAATACCCCCACCCCTAGAAAATCGACGTCAACTAAGAACACCTAGAGTCAGCCATCGAGACGAGTTCGGGAGGGATTAGTCACCATCAAATCAAGAAAATACTCCTCTACAGCGGAACCACTAAAAAAGACATTAGGGCGAACGGTATGAAAGTAGATTGCTAAAATGCAGATTTACAACGCTGACTACAGGAACTCGCATTTGTAATAGTTTGTACACAACTTATTCTTGTATTTTTGCCAAGATGTCCGACTCACGGAAGAGATAGTACTCCTAAATAAATAGAGGAATAGTGATAGATGAAAAAACCAGGTACTACCTTCTCTTCCAAGATGACTTTAGTGCCACCGTATTCGGGGAGAAAAACATTATCACCAACTTTAACGCAGATGGGTACAGTATTGCCGTGCTAGATGGAAAATTGATTAAATATAGAGAAAAAATAATCCTGGACAAACCTCAGTAATACGGCCTGGACCAGCAGCGACAACAGTTGCTTCCAAAACTTTTCCCTTAGACTTGTCCGGAAGCATAATCCCACCCTTAGTGGTAGAAGTTGCCTCAAAGCGCTGCACAAGAACGCGATCAAAGAGAGGCAAAAAGTTCTTGAATGCTTTGGCGGCCTGCAATGACAGGAATTACTAGCATAGCACAACCCACCATTACGCACGTGCAACGAACAGGGAAAATTCTGCTGGACGGCAACCTTTGCAGCAGTCGGTTAAAACAAATCATCCGAAAGAGCAAACCATCAGAGAAATAAAAAATGCCATCATACTACTCAAATATTAATTTTCAAGGCAACCTTTGGGCGTAAATTTGTTGGTTTTTTTGTTTGCTGTATTATTTATTCCCGATTCTTTTTTTTAATTATTGCTTCCAAAATTTATTAAACGTCCTTTCCTAACCCTGTTTTTGCTAACCAATATTTCTGTCAGTCATTGTTAGTAGGCAAAAATGAAAAAATGGCTTGGCTACAGCGGAAAAATGTACATAATGGTCCTTCTTTTCCATTATTTATCGTATGAGCATACCTAGTGGACTTTTGTACTGAAGAACCCACAATCCTTATGAATAATTGCAAAAAGATGAAATTCGTGTCAGCATTTTTAGTCAAAATGATGCCCATAGCACCTACCATTGTAATAGTGCAAATAGTACTAAATAACCTATACAGTTGCCAGCATGATTCGAAAAGACTGGATTTGTGTTTATTCTTAGATTGTTTGAATTATATAAAATGAGATTTAGAACCTCGAGATTCTCCTGAAGATATAGCATTTGGGTCTAATAGGTATATTCGCTGCACAGGAGGTACTGGGGCGACTGACATGGCCCCGAGCCCAGGTCACCCGGCGAAGGCACAATGGCGAGGCGCCTCAGTGGCCCCCTTTACCGAAACGGAGAGTTAAGCAGCGTACTACAACGGAACTACCACTTAATCACCACCAAATTCTATGCCAAAAGCAATTTCCATGTTGTCGGGTTGTTAGAAGTTTGCTAATTCAAAATACAGAATTTTGCTGACCTTTTTTTGGCTTCTTCAGCTTACACCTTCCTTTTCCAAAGAGAGTAAGCAAGGTTTCAATAGTTGTAAATTTAAATTTATAAGTACGTTGGTTATTAAAAACTAAAGTTTACCCAGTGCAGAAGTGCCTCCATTCATAAGGTTCCGCCTCTAAATAAGCATATTTTGAACGCAAGGCACCGCTTGGCGTCGACTGCCATTGACGTCGCTTCACACCAATTAAGTGATTTCGTGTGTCGAAGCTCGCACCGGTGATCATACATCAGAGAACCTCTGCTCTTTCACGTAAGGCCGTGATGTACGCGCTGGATCATGAAGCTCCAATGGCCAAATTGGAAGTGCTCGGTGCTAATTCAATCTTACCGACCTGAACTCTAACGGAAAAGTCGAAAAAAATGACCCAGTTTTTCTGTTGGACCAATGATGGACAGGGCGGGATTGTGGTTGGCCTAGGCGCATGATGGAGGCGGTTCATGCACTGCAGCCCAGCCGACGCATCGAAAATCAATGGAAGAAGTGAGTGTCTACGCCTAGGTGGGATTTAGGCAGAATTTTTTTAGGCGAGGATCCAACCAACACTGCAAGTAGAGGCGTCCTCGTTTCAGAGCACTACGGCACGCTTGCATGCGCACACAAGATCCCAGGCACCAAGGTAGCACGGATTGGTCAGTGAGAAGGCGAGAGTGTGTGTGTGCGGGTGGGCGGCTTAGTCAGACCTGTGAACCGCACACAATCAAGGTAGCAGGAGCGGCAACGTCAACAAAAACCGGCCAAAAACAAGCCTGTACGATTAGTGTTAAGGTGGAGAGGTCACACCTCAGATGATTGACTCATTGACTCCAGTTACCGATACTTAAGGCGGCTACAGCTCATGTATACCCACTTGAGCACCCACACACGCACAGCAGTAACGTCAAATGCGTCGCCTGAAATTGCCTATCCAAGTGGGCTGATGGATGGGCAAAATGTCACTGCGCGCATTGAAACGGCGAATAAAGGAATCCGCGCGTTTGGCGTGGTCACCTTCCAAATGCAAAAGTTGACGTAACATCCTTTTAATAGCCTAATTACTGTGATACAAGCACGGCCATGATGTCGGCTTCATTGCTGACTCGTGCTGTTTTGATGCGATGGTTGGGAAGTGTGGTCATCGGTATTGGCTAGAGCAGTCGTGCGCCTACATAGCAGGTAAGGTAAGCAAAAATTCGGGGAAGTTTCCCTTAAGTTCATCAGACGAAAACACTTGGTCAGATGTTCCCGCAATTCCTTTGGTTTGACCTGATTGGACGTGGCAGCATCGGAGAAAGTGTCCACCGTGTTAGCTGTGGCGCACTCTTCCCCGACAGAAAGAGCGATTGAACACACACCACTGATTGCCGCTCACACAGGTGTGGTTTGTCCAAGTAACTCCTGAAGTCCCAAGACCAAGCCAGTTCTCTGTGTAACATCAGACGGCTTAACCGGCACGCTTTATTGCATTAACATAACGCCAAATTACAACTAATGAGTTTTTGAATTCTTCATCTCCATTGGAAGCCTGACACCCAGTGATTCAAATATGATTGTTGACACTGATAATTTCACGTAACCATGGCAAACCAATGCCCTCACATCGATAAATGAACGTGGAACCTGTGAAACGCCAATGACTCTTCCAACTACACATTACCTCACTTCGAAGATCCCAACTCCTGGAATGTATCGTGACTGCCAACTTGAAGCTCCGTCAAACTATTATGTGAAAATGTCACTAAGCAAAAACGCAACTTTGGATCCGATCCCTTTGACGAAGTGTAAAAGTGAACATGAAAATGCTACCGAAATTGTGAGAATCGACCATGTTTCCGAGACTGCAGATTTTTGGAAATGATGCGATTGGCAGCAGATGTTTGCGCTTTTCCTTCGCTGGAGGGACGCAGTTGTGGCAAATTCACCTGTTTGATAGAGGACCAAGACTAAGAGGCACTTGCTCCACTCAACGAACTGACTGTCACCGGCTCGAATAGAACGCAAAAGCGAGTGAGCAAGCAAAAGAAAAAAACCGTTTCGGGGACGGCGACTATGTTAAAAACACTGAAAAGTACAAATTGGCACAAACCACCAACATAATCATCAGCACGACCAACATTCGCTGCTTTGCCCTTACTGGATAATGGACAATGACTCATGCAGTGAGAGCACAGCTGGAACGCCTTCTACACAATCCTAGCGACGATAAAAATCAATATCGCGCTCTTGCTCGCTCGTACGGATGCACGGGAAAGCTATCAACGACGTCTCGACACCAAGTCACACAACACAAGGAAGCAGTCAGACCGATAGACGAAGGGCAAAAGGTGAGACCTAGGCAGAGGTAGAGAGAGTATAATAAGGGAAATAGCAGTAGTAGTAGTAGTAGTAAAAAGCGCTAGTGACAAGGACATTACGAAAAGAGAATGATGGAAGAATGCACTGCTGGCAAGTGTGCATGTGTGTATAAATATACCCAAGATTTCCATCATTTCCGTATTTGTGCAGTAGTAGCAAACATTCTGCATTTTGTGCGTGTATGCATGTGTTTGTGTGGATGGATGCATGTGTGAGTGAGGTGGGGGTGGAAGAGGAGGTAAAATTGTACGCGGGTCAGGCGGGCGACCGTGGAATGCAAAAAGTATGTTCGTGTACGTTTGTACGTACACGGGCGCGTGCTTGCCCGCGAGTCTGTCTAGATCGCGGCGCGAGTGTTGGTAGTGGTACCGTTTGCAGCAGTCAGCTTCTTGGGACTGGATCCCGCGCCCCCACGACCCCCCGCTCCGCAGCCACCTCCACCACCACCATTCTGCTTTAATCCAGAGGCGCCGCCCGTGTGTTCAACCACCATGAGACCCTCTGCGGATAAGAGGGACGTCTGCTTCAACGGAGCCAGTGGAATACCACCGCCGGCGCCAGAGTAAACATCAAGAATGATGGGCTAAAAGGGAAAGCCGCAGGAAGGCAAAAATTCAGGATTGTCAAAAGAGCCCCTTCGGAGTGCCACAAAGATGGAATACACATCAAATAGATGGACCTAAAGGATCAGACAACTCCCAACAAGTTGATGGTCGTCCCTCTCTCATTCCAGTCTTTATGGCACCCCAATTCCCGTTTTGCTACTCCTACTCATTACTTTTGTACTATTTGTTCGGCTGCCATGCAAAGTGGATGGAAAAGGTGAACGAGAACAATTACCTGGGGAGTGGGGGTGCCATAAAGGTGAGGAGTTTGGGGAGCCTGTTGGGAGGAGGTCTGACCTGCGCAATTGCTGGTGCAGCTGCCGTTGCCGTTGGTGGAGGTGGCAGTAGGAGTGACAGTTATAGTGGTGTTGGTATTGTTGTGGTTGTTATTGGCAGACGGTGAAACAAGGTGTCTATGGGTAGTTAGCAGGGGACTCGAGGTGGCCGCTATACCGCCCTCGAAGATCGCCGGCGCGAACACCGCGGTTGGCAGGAGCGTCGGCTGCAGCTGTTGTGGTGGACTCATTAGGCCGTCACAATGAAAAATACTTGGCTGTAAGGATGAGAGAGAGAGAGAGGTATAGATAGATACATTGACAATGGGAGCGAAGGGAGAAAGAAAGAACGGAGAGCGGAAAAGTCACCACAGAGTAAGGTGGAATAACGTGAACTTGGCGATGAAGACGAAGAAAGAGGAAAGTTGAAAGCGAAAACCAGAAATAACTGGCAAACGCTGTTCGTACCACAAGCAATGTAATGTATGGGAAAATAACTAGGAACCGAACTGGGCTACAGCACAATCAGTAGCAGCGTCAGCAGAAACACTTAAACTCGAATACGTGTATTGGTGGTGTGGACGACGAGTTTGATCAACTATCATACCTCTACCGACTCCATGAGGCCCGAGGAATGGGCACTGTGGTCAGTGCTATAGTCGCTTGTCGTGGTAGTGTTCGGCAGGAAAGCCAGCTGCTGCTGTTGATGATGTGGTTGTTGTGGTGGTAGTGGCAAATCGTGAGAGTGGATCTATATCAACCAAACACAGAAACGCGCGATCAGATGATTTGCACATGGGTACAACGATAATAGCAACGCCAATGATGATATGCTCTCTTTTTCACTCATTTCACGGGCATATGCACGCAAATTTTAACGGGGGTAAGAGAGGGGATGGGAACTTGAATAGAGAGGAGAACAGGGTTTAGAAATACATGGGAAATCGGAAGAGAGAAAGCTTTGGTTCTAGTCATCGGTTTTGAGACGGGGTCGTTTGGCTGAACGCGTCTCTTCCCCTCCGGAATCTCCAACAACAGTAGCGGCAGTCACCGTAGGAGTCATCAAAGCAGCATCACTCAATCCAAAAGCCGATTGTTGTTGTTGATGATGTTGGTATAGAAACCGCGAGAAGAGGCTCTCGTAAAGACCCCCACTCACCTGTTGAGATGCAGTCTGTGACACGGACTGTCCTGTAGGCGTTGTAGCAGATCCATTTGTAAGAGCCGAGGGAGAGGGTGCGAGGAGAGCACCACTACCACCACTGCTGTGTTGCGAGGCAGCAGCAGCGGCAGCGGCGGCGGAAGGCGAGGACCACCTCCAAGCTGCGGCTGCGGCAGCAGCAGCAGCGAGCTGTTGTTGGGCGGCCACAGCAGCTGCCAGCGCAGCCACTTGCGGTGATTGAGTGACGTCAAGGACGCCATTACAGTTACCACTTACAGCGCCACCCAGCGTTGCAGGGGCATGCTGTCCTACCGACACCGAGGGCGCCGGCGTCAGCTGTGGTGGAGGTGGTAGACCTGCTGACGTAGTGCCAGATGAGTTGTGACCATTCGCAGCCGTGTTGGCGGCGTTAGACCACTGAGAGGCCGCCGCCACTGCTGCTGCTGCCGCTGCCATCATCGCTGCTTGCGAAGTCTGCCCCCCAGCTGCCAATGGAGCTTCAAGCGAGAGGGAAATAGATGTGGTTTAGGGGATATGTAAGTCATATGGATATATGGAGTCAGTTAAAGAATACAACTCTAGGTTTTGAGATATGAATCCGTTACCTTTAAGTCATTTTAACACTTTTATAAATAGTGATTTCAAAGGCTCAGTAGCAATGGGAAAAACAACAAATTTAACCCCAGAACTAGTTTTACTAGAACCAATTTTTCAAGGAAAGTGGAATCAGGGAAATGAGCTTGTCCCGAAATATCTTAGTGACTGCAATCTGTTCTATAATTGGAATTTTCGGAACATAGTTTCATGTATTCTCTGCATCCAGAACAGGTTCCTTTGGGTAAATCTTCTTATGAGAAAATTCGAAGGAAAGGAATCTCTAGGTGACAAAAAAAGTCTGCATTGGTAAGACTCCTCGGTTTGGGGAAATACATCATAGCTTCACTTATTTGACATTTGCGCTTTCGGTAGCAGAAGGCCCCTATTCACACAATCACTCACATCCATGTGATTCAGTGCCAGATGTGAAGGAATATGTCTAACCTCACAACCTAAATCATCCACTGACTATCTAGTCAAATTACAATCCCACATTTTGATGAAAAGAGACCTCCTTTCATAAATATCATCATTTTAAGTGAGAAAGGCACAATTCCATAAAAATGGGGAAAGGGGCGTGGAGGGCAGAGAAGATGGCGTACCGGTGAGGGAGGCCTGTTGGTACTGTTGGTGGTGCTGGAGTGTGGCAAAGGTGGCAGCTGCGGCATTTTGATGGGCGGCAAGATGCGACTGAAGGGCTGAATACTGCACTGCGGCTGCCGTCGCTGCTGCTGCTGCCGCTGCCTGTTGGTTTGGCTGCGGTGAGAGATACATTGCACCGTTGGCCTGCTGCAGGAGCATCTGCTGGTACGTCGAGCCTGGCTGCAAAAGAAATGAGTTTTTAAGGACGATTAAAGTATAAACTTCCCAGACAAGAAAGTACAATGGAAGCCAAGGTACCAAGCAACATGACACTTTTAAATAATCATGCATTCCGAAAATCCTTAAAATATTTAAATGCAATCTTTTTTTAAAAAAAAACTAAAATTAATAAAGCTGCCAGATTGTCACTTCTCACTTTCGCAATGGCTCAACATTTCCTTATCAAATAATTTCGGTGCGTATGAATTAAAACACCGCTACATTTAAAGTATTTTGGAGAGCTACAAAGATCCCCTTCCACGCAAATGACAATCTTTAGTGCAAATAATAACCGAAGTTTTATACAGATGTCTAGTTTATGAGTTATCATCCGCTAAACAAAATCCACCAAGTTGTTAGTGGAAATGAAGCAAAATACACGCTTTGTACCAACATTCCGAGAAACTCGGCGTAACGTCTTTGAGCTGAAACCAGTTTAATTGACCATTCAGTGGATTTGAAATGGGGTTTCACCTGTTGAAACTTAATTTTATAAAAGAGAGCATAGCCCTTATTAGAAAACCCTTTGAGAGATCTTCAAACCCCGAAATCCGAAACGAGCGTAGAGTATGAAGTCACGAATTTTGCAATAATTTCGATGGCAATTTAGTATCAAAGAATCACATTAAGACAATAATTATGAGATGTCTGGGCGCTTCTCCTAAACTTCGACTCTAATACTTCAATTTCGAATACGAAACCATGAAAACATTTAGCTTGAAATCATAAGTGACCAATTGTTTCTGTGATGGAAAAAGTAGTTAGGACTTTAGAGCGAATTGCATGAAAAATTGAGCCAACTCACCTGTGCAAGTACTGAGTAGTCTTGTCCGGTCAACGGAAAGATTGGCATTCCACTTTGAAAGCTGCAGGGAATTGCGGCTCCGCCGGGGAAAAATAGCGCTGGTGGGACGTCAGCTGAAATCGAGGAAATCGACACATGGTTGAAGGGCGATAGTGGGGAGAAGTAGACAAAAATGAGGAAGACGATCCGTTTTTTGGGCAAACAAGACACGCAGAAAAGCAAAGAAACAAAGACATAACGACTGAGCAAATAAACAACAAGAAATGACGATAATGAGATGGATGTGCGTGTGGAGAAGTGAGCAAAGCGCGAAGCCATGCGCAGCACCGCAAAAACGAGTTGGGACTCTCACGCACGCACACATGCTGCACAATCGGGCTCGACCAACATACCTGGACGTGGGAAGAGCTGCTGCAAACCAAAACACAAAGAAGGAACGATGCATTCAAAACGGTGAGACGAAATGGAGATGAATTTGGAGGGGAGAGAGGAGCGTATACTGTAGACATGCAGGACGCACCAGGACAACACGCTCGCACGCACACGTACAAAGGTAGGCGAAGCTCACCTGTTTGCGAATGGCATGGCCTATGTTCAACTTGCGGTCCTTGAAGATGAGCGTCTCTGACTCGTTTTTGATGATCTTTTCGGCCACTTCCTGACTCTCGAATGTGACAAATCCGTAGCTCCTAAGTCGGTACAGAGGAATGATGAGAGAGGAAGGGCAAAATAATGCCCACAACATGTGCACAATATTCGTACCCCTTCGAGACGCCGAGTCGGTCGTTGATGATCTTTACGTCCTTTACCTGACCAAAGCTGGAGAAGTACGTCTTGAGCTCCTGTTCGGTAGTCTGGAAGGTTAGAAATGAGAGTGGCGACTTCAAGAGGGCTGTTTTGTCATTTTAGGCAAACAGCAAAATCAATTCGCCGCAGACCAGTCCTGAGAATGACCCCAAAAACGTAGAAAAAATCAGGCAAAACTTCGTCTCATTAGAAAACGAGTTTAATGGCTTTTTTACTTGGAGAGAACTAAACCGGCTATATACCACCGACCCCGCGAACTCATTATTTATCTGAACAAATAGTGAAAGTGGGTGAAGCAAGGAGAGATGATGATGTCATGAAGAAGTTAATCTAAGGAGAGAACTTACACAGTCGTAATCTAGGACGCTGTTGAATGTTAAAATTGACTTTGCTAATAAGTTGCCATTGGATCAGTAAAAGGGTCATAATACGCGACAATTGTGTCAGGATATTAACTTTCATGACTAAGCAAGCGATAGTGGTGATGATGGTTCAATTTACCTTGCCTTCAATTTAAAGCCAAGTTGGAGCATTTAAAAAAAATCATAGAATCCGTAACCTAATTTTTTACGCCTGGAAGTCCGACATAGCCAGGCCGCGGTTAATGAGGAGGGACAATCACATTTAAGGAGCTATTGCGGGCATTCACGACCTGCCAAGAATACAGTAAAAGCTGCCTCTAATGCTAGTCATTAAAATTTCGTTTTGGGTATGAGAAGACAGATGATTGGTTGTTTTTAAACCAGTGAGCATCTCAGAAATCGATGAAAAGTGTGCTATTTTAAATGGAACATATACGAGAACTAAGGACGGAACTTTGTTGTGCGAGAAACAACGATATAAAAAGAGACCGTCTGTGGAGTACCAAGAAAAGAGCAGGAAAGCAAAACACTTGCATTGGAGGGGATGCCGCCCACGAAGATGCGATTGGGGATTAGGGTGCCGAATTTGGGCGCGTTGGAGGACGAGGCAGAGGCTGATCCTGCGCCGAGCAGTGCCTGCCCCGCATTTGCAATCGGCACACCCTCGGGGTCCACGTAGCGTGCAGCAAACTCCGACGCCTGCACGTTCACGCTCGTCTGCTTAGACAAGCGTGTGAATGGAGAAGTCAAAAAGACATTATTAAAAAAAGCAAAAACAAACATCAAAACAATTTAAACACATGAAAACCCGATTATTACAGGATATAAGCAAGTCGTGCTTATTATTCCTGGCAATCTAACGGAAAAAAAAAACAAGAAAAGCCCACAAAAAGGAAATTGCAAAAACGATGCGAATAGCGACTAGAAATCCACTAGTACTATGATGACGCATTAACAACTAATGGAACCAAAATAAGAAATAATATAATAAACTACCAAAACTGTCTTCAAAGACCTCTACGCGATTGTGCATGTTACTAACTTCGGAGAGAGTTAATTTAATCCCTATTGACATTCAAAAGACCACTTAAAGAAGAATTAAGAAAGTTCGAGTTAAAAGCGAATCCAAGTTTATTGGAAAATGTGCTGCTCGTCACAAGAAGAAAAGCAAACCAGATAACCGTCAAAAATAACTTTCTAGATCCAATGGGGAATTAAAGTGATTGCTAGTGAAAAGCCTGGTTGAGCGTGTTCCTAATGAGGCTCTGTTTTCAATTACTTTCCTTTAAAGCAGGAAAATGAGAGGCGAATGAACTGACGGCTTGAAATGTGAAACGATATTATGAAATAAGAGCAGTGGAATATAGCAAAACTAAAAGCACTCTTAGAGATTAAACTTAACACGAAGACGTAAACGACAAATAACCTGTGTATCAATCGTGCCACGTTGAATAGTGGATTGAAGTACCTTTGGTAGATTTCAGACGAGCAAAGTAGATAGAGGAATTAGAATATTTGAAATCTTATTAGACAGCTCAGTCGCCATAGCTATACAGACAGAAACCTTTCATACCTCTCGTATCAGCAGACAGGAAATTAGGAAATTAGGACGGAACTTGTCTTAAACCAGATAAAACCATTTTAGTAAGTAAAAATTGCTTCTTTAAAAATCCAGATAGTCTCAAATTAAGAAACACAACATAACATTTGCCAAGTTTCAAAAACCATTAGTAGTTCTTGAAGTCTCTACTAGTAAAACTACCAAAGAAGTTCATCTTGACGAGCGAAACATTTGACTTAGCGAAATCCGATGAAAGGAATAATAAACCTTCACACCAAGCAAGAGTTAATTCCCCTAGTTAAGAAAACTCTTTAGGTATGAATATATGAGCATATGGCTGAAAGAGAAAGTAAACAAAACACTTGCGCAAAATGTACAACTTAATGTGCGTACAATGAGTAAGACAAAACTCCCAATGAACCCTTAAACCGGTATAACAACCAAAAAGAAAGAAGCTCCAGGCATAATCAAGGCTTAAAGAGGAGACTGCTCACCATGAGTGATGAGGAAAGACTTGAGTACGGCGCTTGGATGCAAAAAGGGAGGAAGAAGAGGACTAGTGGAAGATGTGCGCGGAAGAGCAGGAGCAGCTACGAAGCGGCGTCAAGAAGGACTGACTGTTGAGATTCGCAAAACGCGCCTCAGTCGCCAATGGCTGCATGGCGATCGATTGGGAGAAAAGGAAAGACACCAATCAGGGCGCAGTTAGTGGCGTAAAGCAGTTGGTTGCGGGAAGTACATACGCGCGCACTTCATCGACCAATCAGTGGAGAGTGCGCGCACGCCTCCAAACAAAACTTTCCCCTCTAATTGACAGGTTGTTTCGCCTGAACCACCAAAAGACGGAAAACTAACTCATTGCTCGTTAAAAAATGGTCAAAATGGGAGATTTAGCATAAGTGAAGTTGGAGGCCGCAAAATTATCGGCGCCCAGGTTATTCATTAACCATTTTCCACAGGTACATGGGTTTTGACAATGTTCTACAAAAAACTTTAGAATGAGAATTTTAAAGTTGGCAAATTTTTGAGAGTAAACCTACCTAATACACAGTTTTAAGCATTAAGTTTCATAGTAGACCATTTGAGTTTAAATTTCTTCTGATTAAACTGGTATAAGTGTGGCATTAAATAGTAAAGCCTATTCCTCTTTTCATATAGGGCGCCACAATTGGAGTTTGAGATCATAAATGTCGAAACCAAAAACTTTTCTGTACATTTTTGATCAAAACACTAAAGATCTTGCGTTCTTTCAGATGTATTATGCCTTCAGGGGGAATGGCGCAACATCAGGTTGTTTACTCCCACCCATCCAAAGTCCTAGCCATCTCGTCTTTAATTTGCCTTCCGAAGTAGAAATTAGCAACCTGAAGCTTTGCACTGCAGTAAAAAAACGTATTTTTTCAAGCAGAAAAAGTGAAAATGGGTGAACTTTAGGTTACAGAGAAAGGGGTAGTTTCTAATACAGTTTTCAAATTCCTTTCTAAAAAATGCCAAGCAGCTGAAATTGATATTTTGCAACGCTGAAGTGGGGATCGTCTGTCAAAGTGTACCTCACAGAATCAGATATGACCTTAATGGGAAAAAGGTGTTTTATTCTTTCATGAATCCATCAATTTCCACCCTAACGACAACAACAACAGCAAAAGTGGTCCTAATCTATGACCATTGTAGTGGAATTTTTTGCACACCCGGGCAATAAACACCTCGGTAACTTTGAAATATTGCACATTGTGCCAATTTATTCGCCCAGGATGCTCTTTTTTTCCTATCCCTAAAGCCTGCTTCCCGCTTCGAAATGCCATTTGGATTGCACCAGCAATCCAAACTATGAATAAGCCGTCTAGGGTCCACTTGATCGCAACTCCGCTCATCGATTTTGGCTACCCACGTGGGCATCGATTTTTAACCGCTTTTGACCCCCACCCAGTCCTTCCCCTCCTCCACATCGTTCTCATATAGTGCATTGCGTGCGGTAGGTAGGCCGAAAGTTGTGAACTGTGGTCATGGCGATTTCCTGGATGAGGTCTAATCAGCGCTGACCACGTGTGTCTCGGCTGATTAGCACCTTCTTTCCGTTCACCCAGGTAACCAACTTCGTCTATTTTGCCTGCATTTCTTCAAATTGCTTAAAAATTGCGTATTTAGAATAAATTCTAACAGAAGGGCTCTTAGATTCTGCCTGTTTACTATAACTTGGAATTATGTGGAGAGGAGGAGGCGCAGGCATTTTTCTGCATAACTCAAGAGTAGTCCACGACTGAAGCACTTTAGCCAAAAAATTAATATGCTATTGCGTACAGTTAGAACTATCAGAAATAATTAATGTCGTTAAACTTATTTAACTACTGAATTAAAGCAGATTAAGCAGCAAACAAGTGTCTTCCACCTCGTGTTAACCAAACAGCTATTCTGCAAGAAGGTCGAAAAGCGAAATCTAATTAGACCTAATCAATTAACTGCGAAAAATAGACAGGTGAGCAATTAAATTACAATAATCAATCAATAAATCGATTCTCATGCGTACAAAAAACCGATGAAATTAAGTTAGCTTAATTAAAGACAAACACCCTAGCACCTTTTTTAAAAAAGAAATACATTTCTAAAATAAAATACACTTCAAACGGATGTTTAAATGTCTATTTTAACTTGGTCATTTCAAC